GGGTGGGCGGGCCGGGCGCGTGCGGCGGCCGTTGAGGGCGGCCGTTGGCGGTGCCGGCGGGCCCCGGCGCCGCGCTGGGTGCCGCGTCCTGCCAGGTGAAGGGGAGGAGCGGGCAGGACCTGCGTGACGGAGCGCGGGCGCTGCTCGCCCGAGGAACGGGGTGCCCTCCTGCCGCGCCGCTTCAGCAAAGCGCCCGGATGCCCGGCCTCCGCGCCCCGGGCTCCGCCGCGCACCGGCTGAGGGGCGGAGGGCCCAGTTTGGCGGGGTGGTGGGCGTAAGGGCCGCTTCGCCCCGACGGGAGCTTTCCCGGGGAGGGGACTTGCAACCCGTGCGGTTTGCTGTGAGTCTCGGTTCTTGTGGTATTTGCGGGGGAGAAGCTGGACAAGAAGGACGAAAATCCCTTACATCTTCCGTTCACAGGAGATACGAGAAAATCCTGCAGATCTCACTCTGTCACTCAGAAAAAACGTCCCGTTATTATTGGTGAGAGCTTTACACAAGGGTTGACTAACAGCCGAAAATTTTGGCCCTGTGAATTACACCGATGTGGTATTGCTCGTGACAAAAATATCAGTGACATAGAATTATTTTGTTCTTTAAAGGTATATGATATTGAGTGTCATGTACATTGAGTTTATATGAGCGTGATTCCTACAATCAGTCACCCAAGGTGAACGTCTTGTTTTTATGGATTATCGTCTGCTCTAAAATACGGTATGTCACCACGAGGCAGTGCTCTGCACCATCTTGGGACTCTCCGTCATACCGTCTAGGTAGGGATTCCAGCTACATTCATGCCTGTGACACAGTGGCATAGCACCCAAGCTATTTTACAATTAACACAATAAAACAGGTCAAAACCTTGATTAACATACAAAGTATTATGTCACATTTGTGGTATACAATTATTACATGTACATTATTATCTGTATTATGCATATGTAATGTACAAATGTAACATGTACATTACATGTGCGCGTATGGTATCTTTGATACTCATCCTCAGATGCGAACAGGTGCAAAGACCTCCTTTAGCCATCTCCGTTACAACTGCATGCGGTCGCTTTGTGGCATCAGTGCAGCTGACAGTTCCACTCGCAAGAAGAGGTACCATAGCTGGGTATGGCAGAGGAGGTTACCAGCCCTAACTCTTCATTCCAACACCGCTTTTCTGCCTAGCTGAGACACTCTGCGAATAATCTGAACCCCATTTAGAGGATGCTGCTGTAAAGCATTGCCGGTTTCAGTAAGAGGCAGTGATTCCACAGCTGTCCCGGGAACAGCTTGGTCTTTTGTGTGCTGGGTGTCGGGCAGACAGCTGGGGTCAATAATCTGCCGTCCCAAGCTATCCCATCCCCACTTGTGAATTATAAACTGCAGTCTCTGCTGCCAGTGGTGGATACCCCAAGGCAGATCAAGCACGAGCGCTTTCTAGTTCAGTTTCCTACAGAAAGAAAATCAGTGTGAATATGCTGTCTGCTCTGCTACCGGTTACGTTTGAAACCCTTGGCCAGCCACAGCCAAATCTCTAAGAGACACTAACAGTACAGAAAATAAGCGGTTATGTAGAAGATAGAGATCCTATTAATGTTCCCACAGAAGGGACGGCTACTGTAGGAATTCCTGTCTTGCTAGAGTCCAAGAATCCACATGGGCAAAGGATGTTGCAAACATGACTCATAATTTCTGCTACTCACAGAATGCCTGTGGCGTGCTCAGCCCTATCGGAGCAGGTTTAGAGGACAGCGTGCTCCGAGTTTTATGGAGTTTTTAAAATTTCCGCTACTGAGCACTAGTAGAGCTGGTCAGCTGCTAGAATAAACAGCATTTTGAAAATAGTACATTGCTACACAGTACCACTTTCTGTAATTTCTTTACAGTGGATCTAAGAGTTGAGCAGGTATGAAATATAGATTTGACTGTGAATAACCTTTTATTCAATTTAGGATTAAATGGTAAAGTCTATGGGGAAAAAAAAAGCCCTCAAGACATCCAAACAGTTACTCAGTCTTGCAATCAGAAAATTACCTGTAACAGCAGAGAATATTTCACAGAAAAGAAGTCACAACAACAGGACAGCCTGTGTTCCCTTCTCAGAGAGCGTGGCTGTTCCCAGTGCTATGTGGTTTTCTTTTTTCTTTTTTGGGGAGGCTTCAGTTTTTGTTTTGCATCTAGGGCATATATTTGCAGCTCTCTCACTATCAAGCGTGAGTCTAAACAGGACACATACCTCAAAGAACACCTACATCTTTAGAAAAGCAATGACATGCTTCTGAGCCAGCTTTCTCCCCTCCATCCTTCCTAGTCCCTCTTGAAAATGGTTGAACAGAAGTTTTTCTGCATACAGAAATTTGCTTTATATAGCCAACAGTACAGTTAGGTTTTCAAGCTAACATTTCTTCTAACAAACAAATGACTGTCTACTAGCCGTTAAGTCTTGTAGAGGCAAGTACCTGGCACTGTAACCTCCACCCATTTGTTCATAAATACACTCCAGAAGTAGTTTGCATAAAAATTTCAATTTCCTACCCAGCATAGAAAATAACCAGTGACAAGAGGAAACAGTGCAGAGAGAAAGTAGAACATCTTGCTGCTGACCATATTTCCGCAGGTCTCAAGGACTCAGTGGAAACCAGATAGTTATGTAAAAATTTACTTCTGTAGGCCTATATGGGTGAATGCTGTTATTATTCCTGTAGAAACATATCTAGGGAATCTTGTTCGTACTTAAGTAAGCATGAAATAGGAACTAACCTTCTTCCTTGTCCAGGATGGTGGAAAAAAACTGGTTTAGACAGGCAAATATACTCGCTGTTCTTTGTTATAAGCTGCATACCTCCACTTCAGTTCTGGTTACACTACCTTGTCTATCAGCAAGTGAAAATAACGAACTTGCTTCTTGACCAGTTTCCTTGAAAATGCCAGGTGGCAGGTGTGCCCTAAGCATACAAAATTAGCTGTAAATTCATAATATTGCATGTTTTGGAAAATGTGTGCTGATAAATGGGTCTGGATTTTGCTCAACAGTGAGTGAGCTACGCAGACAGATCATCCTCCCTCTCCCCTCCCGCTCCCTTCTTTGGTGGCTTTTGTAGGGACGCTGAAACAAGGTTTCGAGCAAGGTTTCATCTCTGACAAAAGCATCTGACCCTGAACTAATAAAGCCAGCCAGAGGTTTACGTTCTGTTCAGAACCGATCAGGCACTCCTTTCTAAAGGAGAACGGTTTAAAAAGTAATGGCACACACTCGTAACATACAGCTTTATTTTATAATAGCTAGTGTGGGCTCCTAATAGGGTTTGGGCAACTAGATTTTCTGAGCAGATACCAAACTAGAGGTGCACGTTGTGGTTGGAAGAGATCAATGCCGTTTTTACGTTACCGTGTATTTCAGCTGTTTAAAATAAATAGCGCTGCACACCACTTCTTCACAGATACTGAAAATAGAGACTTCTGAAGTGTTCGGTTGCTCATAGAGAAAGGAAAACAGAACTGTTCTATCCCTCTAAAACAAGATGTGTAAAATACACATGCCTTACATCTGCAGCTAGAGGAAGCCATCCAGCAGCTGAGACTGTTATGTGTTCGCATCTGTAAGCTAAGGGCAATAGGTCCCATATTATCCCTGTCAGCGTGACTACGAATTATACATAAACCTATTGCAGGCATCGTTTTAGATATATTTTGGTATCAGTGTATCTCCAGCTGGTAACTGTATTTTGAGAGATTTAGGAGACCCTATTATCCGGTATCTTAGATTTTTATTTGCATTGAATAACTTTTTGTACGTATTGACTTGAATCCTATGAAGATTTATGCACATGCTTACACTGATGTATGAAAAACAGTCCTGCAACATGTTGTGATCAGTCTTCGTGGAATAAAAAAAATAAGCAGCTCGTAAAGGTCGAGGTTTGGGTCCTAAAATTATTCTGGAAATGTGTGGTGATGCTTACAAGGATAAGGAAGTTTACCCTTGCTTTACAAAAATTCCGTTTAAAACCATCTATCTTTTGTTTGAAGTTTATGCTTTTCTGAAGTTTCTATCACACTGTAAACAGTACGCTGTATTTTGTACACTAAAGTTACCCGTAGAGAAAACTGATGTTCACAGAAAAGATAACACAATCTTAAAAATAAACTGACATTTTGACTGGACTTATTGATTGACCATTTTGTACAGGAAGAAATTCTTGGAAATAACTTACTTGAAGAAATGGCAATTTGTGCTGTGTTACCACATGCTATAAAGTATAGTACTATAAGAAATATACTTTAGTCTAACAATTTTAGTAGGAAAGAGTATTCACCTTTATAATTTCTAAGCTGTTCTACATTCACGGTTGTATTATCGTAGCCATGGAGCACCTTTGTAGGTAACCAGATGCCATACCAAATGCCATTCCTATGAATTTGCCATTTTAGTGCACAATCAGGCCAGTGTTGTTACTGGTTCTCCAATAAACTGTGTTAGTTTTACTCGCCGGTGTGGTTTTTGTTATCAGCTTTGCATGAATTATCCCATTGTGCAGCTTCCTGACCTTTCATGCGGCTGTAGCCCCCCCAACGCTATCTTTCTTCAGAAGCGACCGTGCAGACCATTTTTATTACACGCTCAAGGAATAACGGAGGACAAACAGTTGCTTAGACTATGCTCGCATCTACACTAAAGGCATTTGCACCAATTCATAAATGAAGTGACATCAACACGTGTTTGTCTGGGCAAGGCGCGATACACAGATCTGTGGGTATGGGAGTCCGGGATAGATGAGTTGACATATAAATGTCCCACCCAGCTAATTTTTCTGTTTCTGTGATTTCTAAGAAGAGGGGGTGGAGGACAAACTAACAGATGGGAAGTATGTTTACTCTCTCGTGTTTTCAGATCGGGTGTATCAGCAGCCAGCAATGCCAGCTGAATGTGGATTCGGGAGCTGGGGGAGGACTGTTGATCGCCTCAGCTCCCTTTACTTCTGCAGAGGGAAACAATGATCGTCTTTCAAGGTATATTCCTGGATTACGCTGTTTTGCCTTGCGATGCAGGGTGCGAGACCACGAAACGCTTCTGCTCCCAGAGAGGCAGCTGGCTTTACAGAGAGCCTGATCTGAACCATTCATGACAGTCAACAGAAGGCACTCCAAGTCTTGACACAGTGAATATTACACAGGTAAATCAGCCTTCAGACGCTGATTGCAGACAAGCTCTTTTACAGGATACATCTTTCATTAGCAGTACTAATTGCTTGAATGCTAGACATCTATAGAAAGAGGTGAGTAAATGGAAAACAGTATTACAGAAACAATAACAGAGTGAAATATGTAGGAATGACAGCAGGCGGTAGAGCCATGTGACATTAGATTTGCCAAGTACAATTTGTATTCTCTCAGGTTCTGTATTATCTGCCAAGTATTACCTTAACTTCTCAGAATCCAGGAGAAAAAATACCTTTGTCCTTATTGTTGCACAGTATTTGCTAATATTTTCAACTGATAGTTTTAAGCACTGTTCTTTTAATATTCTGTGGCCACCTACTTACAGTCTGCTACTGATAAGCCTAACAATGAGAAACAAAAACACACTGGGTAGTTACTCATAGGGCTTTTAAGCACAGCTGCTTGGGCAGTCACGCATGTGTTGCAGTGACTTCGTGCAACAGAAGTCAAAGGGACGGTAACAACATTAAAGTATAATAAAAGCAAGGTGTACCTAGTGTATGTATCAGGGTAATACTTTATTAACTAATGCATAGTGAAGAGTAGAAAA